ATTTAGGTAAGACATTGTGGACAAACTTCAATACTCTAAGAACTGTGACTGTGTCCAATGTAGCTATAGCAGAGTTTGATGACTATATTTCTTTTAGCAGAAAGTGATGGGCACCACAGGTTCGCTGGTAGTTTACTAGGCAAGTGGACAATGAATGCCGTTACAAGAAATGCCAGGCCGTTACAATGCAAATGCATCAGCAATTCAATAGGCTAATCTATGTACGTTAAATTCATAGTTGCATGGAACCCAGTTCGTTCCAGTTCTTGGGACGGGTACGGGAATGTGGTACGCTCCTCCTTAGGAATCAGGTACGAGTAGGGTAGGCTTATATGGTACATCAGGGAACGTGGTATGCTTTAGGTTAGGTTCTTAAATGCTAACTAATATTAGTGATGGTAAAATAAAAGAATCACGTTGTCATTAAGATACGCATACTTTATTTACTTAATTGCTCATGTTTTTCTTTTGTTGTTTATTCTTTTAAGAGTTTTTTTTTATTTTTCAAAATATTAACTAGTTTGAATCCAAATCGGGTAGCTGTAGTACGTGAATATGGTTGTGTTCTACGTGAATCTGGGACAATTAAACCCAGATCATGGTTCAATGTAGCATATATACCACGTTACTGACTTCTATGGTAAAAATTTTCGGCAAGCCTCCAGTAAACAAGAAAAATCTATGAACTTGCAAGAAACGAATCCTTCAGAAGTCGTGTCGTAACAAATCTTTCCCAATCATTTAGAAAGCATAGGCAGCTGGGTTCTATTTAACTCTAGTTTTGTCAAACAAAATCCAATCAATGTAATTTGGCACTTCTGCTATCTCTAACAAACTTCCAAAATCATTATTGGACTCCCTACTTTTATGAACTTAGATAGTAACCACAGATTTAATTCTTTGATTTCTCAGAGAGATTATCTTCTTTGTTTATAGACAAAATGACCAATTGTCCCCCTTGAAGTACTTAACCCCCAACTGAACGCCCAAACGTACCAATTACCCATTATTTCCCTTACACTATGTGTATGGGCTCAAATGTGGGTCATTTTGTGAGTTCATGGTCAAAAAATTATCAGATTAAAAACGTGACGGTGTTCTTGTTCTTTCATTTCTCAAGGCAAATAACTTGATACTTTAGGGAGAAAGTTAGGAAATCAGTAATATTTAAAAGGGGAGTTGGTCATCTCGTCCTCTTTTTATATAATGTTCCGCCCAAACTAAAGTGTAGCATCAGAGAATGGAAAAAGAATACACAAAGGAGATTCAACCGAGAAGCTATTGGAGATGGAGTAGGAAGGATCTCTTCCCTGAGGAATCATTTCAAAGCTGGGCAGCCTATCGATCGGCACTTCGCCAGACGCATC